TGATAGCTCTAGGTGTGTGTGTGTGTGTGTGTGTGAGAGAGAGAGAGAGAGAGAGAGAGAGAGAGCTAGCTATAGAGATATGTGTGTGTGATAGCTATAGGTGTGTGTGTGTGTGTGTGTGTGTGTGTGTGTGTGATATAGCTGTAAGAGTAGTGAGAAACCAAGACAAAAGACTGTTTTTTTGAAGTCCTGGTCTACATCAGCGGATGTAAGAAGCGGATGGAAGCATCCAGCTCCCGCACAGGGCAGGATTTGGAGGAGCTGCTGAGAAAGAGTGAGATGCGTCTTTCTCCAGGCAGGAGGAGGGTGTTCCTAAGAGAATGAGAGCTGAAGCCAACCAGGGCCGGCCCGCCTGACTCTGCCCTGAGACCACAGCCATCACCCGGTTGAGAAACTCAATGGGAATACTTTGAAAACAGGAGTCTTACATCCTATACCATACTGTTCTGAGGGGTCCAGGGCAAGTTTTACCTCCCTCTGAGAATGGGAGAGATTGAGGGCAAGAGCCACTGGTAATGTGATCTGGTTGCCTAGGAGACCTCAAGACTGTGAGAAGTGAGGGAAGGGACAGAGAGGGGAAACCGCAGGTCAGCATCAGGACTGGAATCAGAAAGGACCCTGGTGAGGAGCGGATCTCTCTAGCCAGACATCTGACTGAATGGTACTGACACTTTGCATTTTCGCCTTCACGGGCCACCCAGAGGGTCAGCAAGGCCGCACTCTGCTCCAGCAAGGAGTTGGGGTTTTCTACACGGATCCGGTTGATGTCTTCCACAGTGAACTGCAGCTCCCGGGCCAGCTCTGTAGGCAAAGAACCAAGAGCCAACATGAGTGCTGAGCTTGTCACAGTCCCCACTAAATCTGGGGTTCCTCCCCACCGAGAAAGATGGGGCAGAACAAGAGTCTGCCTCTCTGTGTTCCTAGTGAACAGGGTGGGAAAGATACATTGAATGAGTGAGTGAATGAGAAAATGAAGACATTTCCTTTTTTCCCTCATGAGAAAGTGTTGAGAATGAGCTTCCTCAGGGAACAGGACCGGCTAGTCCTCAGACTTCGAAGGCACTATAGTGCAGGCCACCTGCAGCCTTGCACAGGTGGCCACTGGCAGTCCCCAAAGAACGAGAGGATAGAAAGGCAGCCCTGTGGTTACTATGGTACCTCCCTCTGTTACTTTTATTGTGACTGCTCACAGAGGTTTAGAAGGGGAATACATCAGGGTACTTAAGTATAAGGAAGACGGGAGAGAAAGTGAGTACAGGAACATGCCTATACAACACACACGCAAGCACACGCACACATACACCACATATAAGAACACAGATCATATACTTGCATGCAGTTGTGCACATGTGCAGTGCACATACGCATGCGTATATATTCATGGGCATGTATAGACACAGTGTGTCCTTGGGCGCACACACACACCAAGCAGGAATAGAAATAGCCTGAAGAACAGATCGCTCTCGAACTCCGAACTCCTGTCACACGCCTTTACAGAGAGTTCCCACTGTGGGATCTGAGTCTAGAGCTCTGTGGAGAGTGAGCGCACACAGGATGGCCGTCCACATACATGTGGGGATTGTCCTTTGCCTACCTGCTTCCCTTCCAATACTGTCTGCCCTGCTGTAGCCAGGGAGTACCACAGGCTCAGCTATAGCCAGAGCTGAAAAGAAACATCTGGAGACCCTGCCTTTCCCCCTTTCCCACAGTAAGCTGCCTCCGAGAAGGAAATGAGTAGCACTGAGAAGGCAGTGGACACAGACACAAGATACATACATACATATACACAACATACATACATACAACATACATACATACATACAACATACACACATACACACAACATACAAACATACTTACATACAACATACATACATACAACATACATACATATAATACACATACATACACAAACACACATGTATATGTAACATACACACATATACATATGCATATGTACATATATATGCACACATATAAACATACATACATACGTATGTACACACACATAATTTTTCTGTGCACTAACGTTTATTTGTTTGATTTTCTGTGTTCTGTCACTAGCTACCAACTTGCTTAATAAAGGTGGACCTGCACACTCTCGGCAATAAAGCAAGGTGAACCAGTACATCCAGCTTACAACATCAACAGCTGGTGTGGATAGATATAAAATCTGATATTTATTTTCAAAGGTCCAGTTCATCCACAAATGCCCAGGAAGCGCTGGAGCTAATGTCCGCCGGCCTAGTTAGTCCCTACCACTCAAGCCAGCAGTTGAGAGTAGAAACTTAGTAACCGCCGAGTCTGCCCTGCAAGACTGTGCGCCTAATTAAACTTTGAAATAAACAGAATTTAAATGTAGAGATGAACTCAGACAACAGTTTTTGTTGAGAAAAATTCAAATAAATAAACAACAGTAGAAAACATAAAACCCAGGAGGCATGTAAGATTGTTCCCTTCTGCTTACTACATAAGGCTCATGACTTAGGATTTCTAAACTCTTGTCTGTGCTCAGCCGGTGCTCCTGATGGCTTAGGCTGATGCTCAACTTGGCGAGGTCGTAAAATAAATGGCGTTTTCCCCTGAGTCTTGAGTACTCTTGCTATAAAGTAAGGACAATGTTTTTTCTCAATGCTTACAGAGAAAACAGACAAATGGGGAAGGGGCAGGAAGCTCACTACTCTGTACTGTTGTCCAATGGTGTTACTTATAAAATGGGTGCACAACGGGTCATGAAGCGAGGGCTGGACACCCTTCACCCTGGCTCACCCAGGAGGAAGGGTCATGTGGTTAGGTAGGTGAGGGTTTTTCTTCTTTCTGTCCGCATTCCCTGACTCACCCGCCCAGCTGAGGCCGAGGTGCTCCGTGATGACAGCCATCTTCATATCTGCACGGTCTGTGTCACTGGCAAAACCTGGGAAGATTCATTGGATTGCAGTTAGCATGGATGAGGTGGGCGTGTGGTCCTTACAGAAGGCTGCTCAGGTTACACGGGACCTTCAGATTACACTGTCAGGTAGAGACCTAAGGGGAGGGCTTTGTCTGCTGCAGACAAAACAAGATGAATGGACACCAGGACAGTCCTTGACAGACTGCCTTGATGGGACCGCGTCTGCATTCTTATAAGAGCAAGCATATTGGGGTGCTAGGTGAGGGGTTCTTACCCAGCCGGGACTCGCTGAGAATGCTATATCGAAGGGAAAGGGGCGTCAGGGTCCTCCTCCTGTCTTCTGCTCCACTACCCTGCAGAAGACAAAGAAACGATACCATGGATTTTGGGTGTACTCCCTCTTATGATACAAGAGCTGATACAAGCTCTCATATTTTGGTGAAGGGGCACAGTAGTCCATGGCCTGAGAGAGAAAATGCGTGGAAGGAGGTGGGAGTGAAGGGAGGCTGTGATACTCAAATACTTCATGAATAATATAGATAATGGCAGACCCAGGGTCATTATTATGTGAGTGGCTCTATTCCATACACACGGCCATCTGTGAAGCAGGTAGGTACAATTCTAGCTTCGATTTCATTGGTGAGGAAACTGGTGTAGAGAGTAACTTGTAGAAGATCTCCCATTAGAGACAAATTTTGAATTCAAACTCAGCTTTTCCCTCCGGATTCTCTTTTGTTCAATGGCTCATTTCTGACTCACCCTGGCCTAAGGTTTAACAGCAGGGCCTGTTTGTAGGCACTGGCAACTCCATTTGAGAGAGAAATAGGTTCATTTCTCTCATCCCCAGAAAGAAAAGAAAAATCGAGCCACATTTTTGAAGGTGACCTTCTTTCTCTTCTAGGTGTCCACAGAAGGCTAATGCCTCATACAACAGCACAGCAGCACTGACAGAAACAAGGAGACATCCTGAGGGTGGAGTTGCTCCGACGGTCCAATATGCACCATGATGCTTTTTTACGGATCAGAAAGAGTCCATTGGTCCAGACTCCTTGATTGAGCATGGAAACGTGGGTTTTGTCAGTGGCTGGGGACACCAGGGTCCCCTTGTTTGAGGGGAAAGACGGGCAAATAAATGGAAAAGAAACTTAACAACTTCTGTCTATGAGTAACTAACTGATCTTGGACAAGTCCACTTTCAGCTGTAAGTACCAGAGGCCTCAAGAACAGCAGGGGGCACTGTCTTCCATGTTCTAGGGAGGCTGGATGTCCATATGAACAGTTCTACCAGTGCCTGGCCCTGACATCTGCTCTTCACATCACATGACTAAGCTTTTTGGACTTTCCAGGGAAGATTTCTCTCCGTAGTCACAAAACACACGTTCATAGCAGAGCAAGAACCCTGGAGAGCCCGGGGATTAAAGTTGGCGCTTCAGAACGAAGACAGAAGCCCTTTGGATGTACGCGTGTTCTGGGAGCTTTGGAAGGACACTGGTGGGTGGCAGCTCACCTTGGTGCAGGGCGGCATGGTGATATTCAGGTGGCAGAGGATGTGCTGTGTGTCCTCGTACTTCATCGCCTTCCGCAGGAATGACAAGAACCCTCCCGGTTCACGACTGCTGTCCCTCACCTAGATTCAATTACACACAGGGAGCTTTAGCAGGACCCTTTATGCCTCTAGACTGGTGTTCTCAGGGCTTCCTGCCACCCAAACTCCTAGACCAAGGAAAGAGGGTGGCCATAGGAGGCCAGCACCTTCACAGGGATGGCCAAACGGTTCTCTCGAAATGACTGGAAGTGGAAACTTCGTTGTTGGGTTGTTTTCTTGACAGGCACCAAGTTCCCAGAGAGTTCTGCAAATAGAGGCATTCCTTCCAGAACCTACAGGAAAAGAAAAGCATGCTGAACTCCTGTGGACAAGTCTGTAAGTTTCTGTGTTTCCCTCCCCCAAACTGTCCCTCGCAGAGGCTGAGGATGGGTTATGAGAAACCTCGCCGCTCATTTAGGGAAAATGTCATAAATAAGCTGTGCTCTCTTGATGCAGACTTGAGATGAAGATGTTTCTAAGAACTCAGTGGCCTGTCAGGACTGTAGAGCATGCCGTCTGGGAAAAGCCCTGGTCTACTCTTAGGTCTATCTGAAGATATTTTGTTTGTGAGAGGTGCCAAAAAGGCTACAAACGTCTCACATGTAAGGACTCCTTCTATGGGCATCACAGCTTCAGCTGAGATGTTCTCATGATCATATCTGACAGCTGAGGACGCTGAGGCCCATAGACCAGTGAGTGCCAGGGCTGCATCAGCACCAGGCATACCTATGTCTCGGCCCTGGACTTCTGATCCCAAGTCAGCCCTCGGAGTTGACTCCTTTGTCAACTTGAGACAAGCCAGAGTCATGTGAGAAGAGGAAACCCCAATTAAGAAAAGTCTCGAGGGGGCTGGAGAGATGGCTCAGAGGTTAAGAGCATTGCCTGCTCTTCCAAAGGTTCTGAGTTCAATTCCCAGCAACCACATGGTGGCTCACAACCATCTGTAATGGGGTCTGGTGCCCTCTTCTGGCCTGCAGGCATACACACAGACAGAATATTGTATACATAATAAATAAATAAATATTTTAAAAAAATAAAGTAGATAGATTCATGGGAAAACTCTCAGACTATTGGAACTTATCCCAGAGGAAATAGAGAATCTGAACAGACTTGCAACAAATAAAAATTTAAAAAAAAAAAGTCTCGAAAAACCAAAAAAAAAAAAAAAGGAAAAATAAAGGTCCCCCCACCAGACTAGCCTGTGGGTAAACCTGCAGCACCTTTTCTTGATTGATGATTGACGTGAGACGGTCCAGCTTACTATGGGCAGTGCCACTCGACAAGGTGGCCCTAGGTTATATATAAAAGCAGGCTGAGCAAGCCACGAGGGGCAAGTCAGTAAGCAATGTTCCTCTATGGTTTCTGCTTCAGTTCCTGCCTCTAAGTTCCTGACCTGAGTTCTTGCCCTGACTTTGTCCCACAACAGGCCGTGATATAGTGATGAACTATAAACTGAAATAACCCCTTCCCTCCCCCTTCCCTCCCCCTTCCCTCCCAGGCTGCCTTTGGTCATGGTGTTTCATCACAGCAATAGAAATCCCAAATATGACATCAGCTTTCCCAGGTAAGTCCAGCTAAGATTCAGAGGTCAGACCCTCAGATCGTCCCTAGCTTATTATATAAACATGAGAGAGAGTCTTGGGATTGGTAATAATTTATAATTGATAACAATATATAATTAATATAACTAAATTATTGGTAATAATTTACCAACTAATAATTGGTAAAAACTCAATTTCAATCCTCTCACCTTTTAACCACATTGTCTCTGCTCTCCTAGATGCTACCATGTACCAGGGCTGCTGGTAGAAACAGGGAGCTTGGGTCAAATCCTACAGCTACTGTCTCTGCAACTTGAGTGTGACTTTAACCCTCTCTCCCAATCTTGGCTTCCCACTGGGTACACTGGGGTAATGAAGTTGCCCACAGTTAAGAGAATTAAACCCTATCTTATAAGTTAGGTACTTTAAGAAAAAAAAGGATTTCAAAAAAATGGGGTGTGTGTGGGGAGAGAGAGAGAGAGAGAGAGAGCGAGAGAGAGAGAGAGAGAGAGAGAGAGAGAGAGCACACACCACATGCATGCAGGTGCCCATAGAGGCCAGAAGAGGGCACTGGATCTCCTGGAACTAGAGTTACAGGCAGTTATGAGCTATCTGACATGGGTGCTGGGAACTGAACCCAGGTCCCCTGCAAGGGCAGTAAGTGCTCCTAACTGCCGAGCCAGCTCTCCAGTCTTGCAAGTTACTTACAAGTGTGACAGATTCACGTGAACTCCTGCCAATGTCAATTCTTATTAGACAAGCCCCTGAGATGCCTGTGGTGGTGGCCCTCATGTTCGTCATGACTTATCTAAGATGATTCTTGGGGAGCTGAAGCAATATGTCCTAATGGTCCCTACAACTTCAGAGGGAAGGCATCCTGAGCCAGGAGCAGCCACCAGAGCCACCTTAACCCAGAGTTTCATTTCCTCCCAGGGCTGCGGTGGGGACAGCCGGGAGCCGTACCTCTATGTCCCTGCTCCGGGCCACCTCCACAAAGTTCTCATGTTGTTCCAGGGTCTTGTCCGCCTTGTCGTCTGTCATGCAGTAGCAGCGTAGCCGTCCTTCCCGCGGGTCATTCATCTTGGCAAAAATGACGAACTTGGCCATGTAGGGGACCGCCGTGAGCTCTTTGTACAGCAGAGTGGCAAAGTGCACGGCCTCTGCGGTCCGAGGACAGTCCGACAGCCAAAACCTAAAAGGAGAGCAGTGAGCAGGGCCGCGCCGCAGCAGCGGAGCCCTGCCAGGTCGGGGAAGCGGCAGAGGACTCTGAAGCCCAACCTGGGAGAGTGGGCCAGGCCATGAGGGTGGCTCCTTGCAGCCCCCATGCTGGGCTAGGAAGGGCCGCGTCGTACCTGGCGGACACATTGGTGGTAAAGTTGGCACACTCGTTGGCGTACACAAGCTTGGTTGTTCCCGTTATATCTTCCCACTGGGCTTGGTCAGTTCCACCTGCAACAGCAGCAATAGCCGGGCTGGGGAGATGCTTTCTATTCATAAGCAGGGAGTTTAGCAACGGGCTAAGCCAAAAATGGAACATCCGGAGGGGATCCTTGGTCTACAACTTTATCTCCCCATGCTGTGCTGAGGACTTATACACAGGTCATTTTCCTCTCATCCCCAGGGACGCCGTAAGAGCCCAATGCAGTTGCTGGCTTTATCTCTGCACCGCCCAGTGCGTGCCCTAACCCAGCCGCTGCCAAGGAAGCGGGCACCACGAGCAACACTCACCAATGACACTGCACAGGAGGCGCAGGCTGGTGGTGTCTCCCTCCCCGCTGTCTCTCGGGTTGTCAGTCCAGGAGGGAGGGAGTGGGATCCGAAGCCCAATGGGGCGGTGGAACTTCCGGCGCCTCGGCTCAACAGTGACAATGGGGCTGAAGGTGGCCTGGTTGCCGAGGAGCTTGGTCACCAGCTCGTCTGGGACAGGCTGGGCCTGTGAAGTGCCAAAGACAGAGGGCTCAGCTCCAGGCAAGTCAGGTAGGGTCAGCCGGGTGCCCTCAAAGTTCAGGTGAGGAGGTGACCATCCCCCCGGGGCTCCCCCATATACTTTGATGAAATGGTGTCCCCTAGGCCTGACCCCATGACTGAGTGTCTTTCTGAACCTTTTTTCTATCTCCCACTCCATGTTTTTCCTCTGCACTTTGGCCCACTTTAGGCCTTCTGTGGAATCCTTCCTGGGGGACACAGCTGGCCACACTCAGTGGCCAGGCTGGACTGTCTACAACTCTTTAGGAAACACATGGTCACCGCTCCCTCCCAGAGTTCCTTAAGCGCCTTCTCCTGGGCCTGACCTCCATGTAGTCTTAGGAACTGACAGAAAGGGGCCATGTCACCTGTAGAGCCAGCTTCACTTTCTTGGTGACAGCATTTTCAGGGAACGTGGCCTGTACCATGGGCACCAGCTTGCTTCGCAGGGAGCCCCCTTCGGGACCGATGGTGTCATAGTCCTGGCAGAGCCGGGACATGATCACAAAGTACAGGGGGAAGTCGGTGGTGATGATGCGGCAAACACGCTTCTTTTCCAGCTCCTCCAAGCTCCCCAGCTCTGGAACCACAGGTTGCCTCAGGATGAGCCATGACTGAGGTGCCAGGGTCTCTATATCCTGGACACATACCCTCCCTAGGGGCTAGGCAGGGAGGTGGCCTAGAAGACTCTGGCTGAGCCATGACTGTGGTCCCAGGGTTTCCCTAGTGGCTTGGCAGGGAGGTGGCCGGGAAGGAGAAGCATCTGAACCCAGAGGCCCAGTAGAAGAGGCACTGCGCACAGGGGTGGGGGGCACTATGCCTACTCACACATCCTGGGAATCCAGTACTTGGTCAGAAGGACCATTCCCTGCCTCTCTTAGCCTCCCACACTCCCGGCAGTGCTGACAGACCAACCCGAGTGTGCAACCCCAGATCCCATGTTCCTAAAGCAGGAAATCCAACTGAAACTCGAGGGCCCCTTTACCTTCGTCCATGCCGTTAAGGATCTGGTCCAGGTAGCTTTCTCCATAGCGACTCTTATGCTCCTTCCACACAGAGCCATTCTCACTCCTCAGAACCACCAGTTCACGGTCCCCACGGCCATGCGAGGCGAAATGGGGGATCTCCACGATCACGGGGCTAAGGTAGAACACAGCAAACAGTGGGAAGGTGTTTAGAGGAGGCCGGATGCCTGGACACAGGGGAATGGCAGTGGGCCCTGCTCACAGCCTGCGAGGAGAAGGACCTACTGGCCAGCGGTGGGGAGGAACAGAACTGTCCTGGGCCACTGAGACAGAGCGCCGGGGACCCCAGTGGGCTTCAGGCGGGTGAGAAATAAAGAACCTGTGGTTCATTCTTCTCAAGGGCCTGGGGACCCTCTGTGGGGAATGCCTTCCAGATGAGCATTCTGGTGCTCATTTGAATAAACCCTAGGCCCCCAAATAGCCAAATTTCCTCTGTTCTCCTCTCTAGTATCCCAGTGCTTTTGAGAGTAGCCTTCTTCTCTAGAGCCACAAACTGCTTCATGGGCCCAAGAGGGGCAGGCAAGCCCGTTTGTCACCACAGGAAAGAAATGAGATGCTGGGCGCTGCCCAGGTAGGGTGGTCCTTCAGTCTCAGCTGAAGTGGCAGGAGCTGGTTGGGGACACATTCACCAGGACGGCATGTCTCACCTAAGGAACTGGGCCCCCGTAGGTCCCAGTGCAATGATCCTGCTGGCCAGGCCCTCCTCCTCAGCCAGTGGGGGTGGTGTGCTCAGCTTCTGAGGCTTGACCAGGCGGCAGGTGATGCGCGTGGGTGCCGCACACGTCCGGGGAGGGATCACTACCCTCAGGCCATTATGACGACTTCCTCTCATGGATCCTCCCCGGGCATCTACCATGAAGCTCACCAGAAACCTAGAGGCACAGGTAGATCATGACTGGGCTGGCTTCCTTCTCAAGGGCAGGAAAAGTGGGTCCCAGATTGGTACAACACTCACCCTGTGTGGACGGGGCTGGCCACGGGGCTAATGTTGTCTGAGGTCTCTGTGGCTGGACTACTGGGGATGAGGGAATCCTCATCGTATTCTTTGGATCCCTGCAGAAAAGCAGAAAGCCTCTGGTCTCCTGTCTTACCCTTAGTTTACACAAACATGTGCCCAGGTCCCTGAGCTCATCTGGGAGAAACCGGTTCCACGAAATGAACTCTGATCCCTTTAGACTCTCTCCTTGCTCCTGCTCGATGCACAAATTGCTCACCCATCTGCCCTTCTCTCCTGCCATTCCCCCACTCATGCTTTCTTCTCCAGAACTGGTTCTAGATCCTGAACCATTGCCTCATGGCTACTTGCCCTAGTGGCACTGTGTGAGGGAGGACTCTGTGAGGGGAGTCCATCAGGCTGCGGGGCTTCCCATTCCTCCCTGGTGGAAGGAGACTATTCATTGCCTTACAGAAACCCATGTATCTAAGTCCACACTCAGAGTTGACCGCAGCCCTGTCATAGGAGACAATTAAACCCAACTGCGTATGTGGAGCCCTAGATGGGCAATTAGTATAGTACAATATGGTGTACACCTCTGACTGGGTTTCTGACTTAAGCAAAGATGTGGAAAGAGATGTTGGGGCTCTGTTTAGTACATGCAAAGCCCTGGGTTCTCTCCGTGTGTGTGTGTGTGTGTGTGTGTGTGTGTGTGTGTGTGTGTGTGTGACAACACCAATGCTGTATTGTGCTGATACCCGAGTGTATTTTCAGATTCATAACGCTTTGTGGAGGGGGGAGGGGATTCAGCCCCCCTTGGCAGTCAGGCCTTGACATGGCCAGCTTTCAACGCATCGACTCTTCCACCTCCCTAGGAAATGGTCTTGGAAGGTGCCAATGGACTACCTAAACTGTTTGAAATCATCCTCCACCTCTATCTACCTTTCTGGACAAATTCACATGGAAGGCAAGGAAGGCACAAACCAGGGTACTGTCAGGAATAACTGTTATGCAGAGAACAGTGGTTCAATACCCCTCTGTCAGTGTTGGGGTCCCTAGCTTCTATGATCAAATGGGGGAAGAGGAGGGAAGACAGTCACCCCTTCTGCAGAGAGAGGAAGCTGACATTTGTGCATCGCAGAGAAGGCTTCCTTCCTGCTCCCACAGCTGGCCAGCCTGAGTATCTTCCAGCACGTTATGATGGTGTTTCTCACACTTGAAGCCCTCTGAGGCTCCCGGAACTCACAGTGGCCATAATGAGTATGTCAGCTGTACTAGGCTCTACAGGACATATGACTCGGAACCATGGTTCTGAAGGTGTGAGCTTCTCTACTTCAGCTCCCACTGTCCCTAGGTCATAGGAACACAATCACGGGAAGAGACAAGGAGTCCCTTACCTGTTCCATGTCTTCAGATCGGATGATCACAGTCTCAGGGGTGACACAGGGGATCCTTGGGATGGCTGGAGATTCCACCCTATGAATCAGGGACATTAGACAATCAAGGAGCAGAACAATTGATGCAGGCCCCTCCGTCACTCCTGAGAGACTTAAGTGACAAACCTCAGCCCATCTGTAATGACCTGACTGGTTCACCCCTCACCTCTCACGTGATAAAATGACTCTCCTATCTACAAATTGACCCACATCGTCCCTGCACCTTGAAGCTTCTCCCTCCCCAGGCACGCCCAAGCCTGGCCTTCACCTCCATCTCTACTCTGAGTCCCAGAGTGGTTCCTGGCTATCCACAGCATGATCCTCCCGCCCACACTGGGCCCATCTTACACTTGGTCTAGCTTCGGCACAAAATCCAACAGCTCTTTCTCCTCACCCACGTCCCGGGAGTCCCGCCTCTCTGCCTTGGAGCCAACAAGTTCTTCACCTGAAAACCAGGAGCTCAAGTGAGTGACAGGCTGGAGACAAGACATCGCCTTTGTTCCTAGCAAGCACTTCTCATAGTTCACCTCCTAACGTCTACTCAAAAGTGGAGGGCAGGGTTGGCTTCTGATACCCCAAGGGGCCTGTTAGCCATGGAGATTACCAGTCCTATTCTTCCAGCACTAGAGCCCAGGGCGGGCCAGTTCCTAGTCCCTGTGTGCACCCATCAGCTTTTTGTAGGGTGGACAACCATACAGTCAGGAAGAGGTTTTTTTCCCCCCTTTGATAAGGTCCCCACTACACAGCAGCTCTTTCAGAGCGTAAAATGGCGCCACAAAAAGTCACCACTACAGACATTTCTTTCTTTTTCCTTTTTGAGACACTTTCTCTGTATAGATCTGGCTGTTCCAGAACCGGGCTGACCTTGAACTCAAGGATCTGCCTGTCTCTGCCTGCTGAAGACTGGGATTAAAAGCATGAGCCATCACACACAGCTTAGATTATAGCTATTTCTAATCTGCCATTACAGAGGGGGAACCAGCACAGTGCTCGAACCTTTTCACTCAAGGTTGGGGCATGCTTTTGTTACTGAAGCCCCTTTATTTCCCATCATTATTTCCTCATCTTGGAATTGTTATTTGTAATTCCAAATCGCATAAAGAGGATCCAGCTCCCTGCACCCATTCCCCTCTTCTTGGCCCGACTGGAGGAGCAGCCTGGGCTCTGGGGCCCATATGACTATCGCCCTGCGGGAGGAGCCCGGCCCTATGACCTGGAGCCGACAGGATGGGGGTGTGACTGTTCATGCAGGATGAGCACAGACACGGAGGCATGGGCACAGAGACAGAGGTGATGTCATGGTGTGCATGTCCTGTTTAGTCAGCTCCGGGCCTTGCAGGCCACGGAGGATGCAAAGCAGGCATGGGTTAGTGAGGACTTGTGTGCTTATGACAGAATGTGCTCTGGTGAGAAAGACCACAGGGAACAGAAAGCATTTCATACCCATTATAGTTATCTGAGCAGTTCCTGGAAGGCAAAGAAGAGCCAAGTTGAAGGAATGACAGCATCGGACCCGGTAAAGCGAGAGGCGTGTGCTATAACTGTCTAGCTGACTGTCACATGACCACCGAACTCCAGACAGAAGGGGCCAGAGAGCAGGCCCAACCCCACTATTCTGCATTTCCTCAATTCTGTGAAATACTTGGGGGACGGGAGCTGGGGAAAATACCCTGGCGATCACGAAGTTGAAACCTTTGTTCCCCCAGTGACGACGGAGGACTCCAAACTTTCCGCCCCACCACACTGTCAGAGGGCAGCTGACCAAGATGTGTTCTCTTCTTAAACAAGCAGCCTTGTCATTTATGGAGGGTCAAGGAAAGCAGCAGCCAGATGTTGCTGCAGCTACCACCAGCTCTTAGAGCGGAGATGAATAGGTCCATCCTTGACCAAATGTGGGAACTGGCTCGCAGATAAAGACTTGAGATCTAAAATATTAACCTCTAAATTCTCAATCTTCCTTCACCCAGGATAATTTGAAAGGAGTTATTCTGTCAGCAGACAATGTTTGTTAGAAGCGGGTGTCCCTAGTTTCAGTGTGTGCTTGTACGTCCAGCCTGGATCTGTTCCGAGAGACACCAAGGGCAGCTTGTGAGGATCACGCCTGAGCTCATCACCAAAGACTTTACCTTCATCTTCAGACACATCCAGGATCTCATCCACGGTCTCCGGGTAGCTCATCCGATGCTTGTCGCTGACTAACTGGAAGGAGGAAGGGCAGGGGCTCAGACCCACTTGGAGTGCAGTATATTTGCTTTAGTCCAGCTATTGCCCCCAGATGAGCAACCAGGAAAGGAGACGGAAAGATGTGCCTCCAAGGAAAGCCAGGCCCAGAAGGCATTTGATCTGGACGTGGAAGCCTGGCAGGATAACGCCAGACCTCAGATTGCCCGCCCTATTACCTCACCCCCTTCCTCAAACCCTTCCAATCCTTTGGGCACTAGGTGGCAGTATTGCCCCACTTGTAGAGAGTAGCGACTACCAGGTGGGTGGCATTGACTTTGGGTAGTAACCCTCAGGGTTCACAGCTGTAACTGGGGGTAGGGGTGGAGGTGAGGCCGGGCTCCTCGCGGGGGGTGGGGGGAGACAGACATACCACTACACTGGTTTCATCCGTGACCACCTTGAGCACGTCGGTTACAGAGATATAGCCCAACCGCTTGGCTATTGCCAGAGGTGTGGTTCCATTCTAGGACAGAGGGAAAGCAGACAGGGTGTCAGAGGGGAGAGCCTATCTCTTGCACACAGACCAGGTTTGCTTGGATTCTTCAGAAGGGTCTTAGTGGACAGGCTGGGCCTTAGAGCTAAGATCTATGTACAAGTCTGTGATCCTGGAGGCCACAGAGATGAGACAGGAAGGCAGGAAGGCAAGCAGGGCACACTGTAAGCCCTCAGTGTTCAGAAGATGCCCTCAACACGAGACAAGGCAGGTAAGCACTGCTGGGAGAAGCCAGCCAGCAGCAGGGCAGTGTTCCCACACCCTTTCTTCAGCTGTCAGTCACTGAGTGTTATGATAGCGAACAGTAGTCCTGAACTGTTTAGTTAACTAATTACAACAGTCAGAATCCACAAATTCCCCAAATGGGACAGGGGCACACTTCAGTACATCGATTTTGACGGAAAGACTTAGGAGAAAACTGCAAGGCCTTGAAACATTTATTCTCTTTGAAGGTCTTCTCTGCTTGCAGAACATGCCTGGGCCCCACATGACTTCGGACCACCTGCAGTTACACCCTCAGCAAACACCTACAGCCAAGGGTTCACAACCTTCTGAGTTGGGAACAGCCATGCAGGTTAACCCTACAAACCCCATGATCAGGACAGGGAATTCATCCAGATGGACAATCGCCAAGGCTGCTAGGGGGGTCTTTGATGCCCAAAACCACTTAATTTTGCCTACTTATCCTATCCTTCCTGAAGGTAGCTTCGAACACGCCAGAAGGCGTGCCAGCAGGAACAGTTACACACCGGAGAGGAGGAGGTATGGTATTGGGAAGGATAACCGTATTCCCATGGCTAAGTTCTGGAGTATACAAGGCAGACACATTATGGTGCATAGCTCAGTCCAGACTCCAGAGAATCAGCAACCGGTATGGTTGGGGATGCTCCCCTAGCTGTGAGGAATGGCTTCAGGTGGGTACTCACCGAGCTGACCTCGTTTGGAGAAGCACCATTCTTCAGGAGCAAGGTCACAATGTCTGTGTGTCCTTGCTGAGCTGCCTGGTGCAAGGGGCTGTATCCTAGCTATGAGGCAAGGCAGACATTTGGCAGGATCAGTTAGCCATTGGGGGGGAAGAACGGTATACAAAGTTCAGAGTCCACCCTGCTAAAACTCTTCCCCCCACTTCCTTCTGTAGGTTCAAAGCTCGGGACGGAGCAGGGCCTGGAGTGGCTGTGGCTCCCTCCGAAGGGGGCACCTAGGAGCTGTCGGCTCAGGAGTTGAGTGTAAGGTGCCCCTGTACCTTGGTCTTGGCATTGACGTCTGCCTGGTGCTGCAGCAAGAACTTCACCAGCTTGATGTTTCCGTAATGGCTGGCCACGTGGAGTGGGGTGTAACCCATCTGAAAGGCAAGAGATGAACGTGGGCGGGGAGAAGTCATCTGGGCATCCCTAGCACCAGCGGAGGCTTCAAAGGCATTCTTCACAGAAGCAGCTGTTTAAGGGAGGGGAGGCAGCTACAGGGAAGGGCGAGCACGGTTGTGAGACGCGATGTGCTAGTGTCGGTTAGGGAAGGGACAGGATTGGCGTCAGAGGAGGGAAGCTGAGATGTTGCCGAAGCCACCAGGCAGGCAGTCAGAAGACCGATAGGAACCCGGAAGAGAGGGTTAGGCTAAGAGTTGTTAGCCTTGGAAATGTCCAACGGCAGCTGACAGGAAGAAGCAGAGAGAGGACAGAGTGGGGACAAACGTCTGGGGCAGTACTGAGAAAAGCTGGGGTGGGGGTCGGAGAGAGCCACGCCAGGATTCGAGAAGCATTCTTTTTAGAAGGAGGGGCTGATGGGTCTGTGCCAGGAGGAGCTCTGGAAGGACAGACAGCCATGCACTGTCGGTGCTGACGTTCACAATGGCAGACTTGTTTCTTCTACTACAGGGGTGGAGCCCCACTGTATGCATCCAGATGCTAGGTGAACTACTAGAGTTTGTAGGAACTGACCGTGGCCTAAAGTGAAGGGCCATGGTTAGTCGTGGGACTGTGAGCTGCAACGCAAATTTCCAAAGAATCTATCCTAGCAATGTCTACTTGTTTATCTTTGGTGGGGACGAACCCAGATCTCCCACGCACCAGCAGGTGGCCCCACGTTCTCCATGTTCAAACTCTGCTCCAATTCCCCTAGCTTACTTTGGTGTTATTCCCAAATGACTGACAAGTCAGGCCCTCTTTGGTCACACATGTCCTTCGGGAGACAGTGGACAAGTCTGGAGACCCTCTGACCACAGACCCTATGGGCCAGACCCTCATGTCCTGGGATGGCTTTGTAATGTATGAGACAACTCTAATCTACAGAACAAGGTCCTTCAGGGAAGGATCCCAAAAGACTGAACTAGACCAAGGGCTTCACAGAAATCCTGCTGGAGCTGTAGGCAGCTCTTCTTGGGGTGTCTTCACCTCATGGCTAGTACATCTGTGGAACTGGGGTGCATGTGTGTGTGTTTCTGACGGTGCCACTCTGTTCCTGCTTTGGGTTTTTTCAGGGCTGGGGACAGGACCCAGGGCCTTCCTTGCACGTGGCTAGGCAAACTCTCTGCCCCGAGTTGCATCCTCAGTCCCTGTCCTAAGGAAAGGAACTAGGGTGTTCCTCTTCCATGCAGTTCCTTCTTCCACCAGCTGGAGGTGCTCTTTTCTCCCTCTGGGCTACCAGCTTCTTAGTCCCCGCCCCCTTTTATTACATCTGTTTCCTGTCACTACAGCCATCTCCCCACGCTGCAAACGCCCAGAGCAGTGTGCCGCGTGCCACACGCACACACACACACACTTATCCTTACATCACAACACAGGGCTCTTTGCCACAGAGAGTTTGAAAGTCAAACTCCATTCAACACAATCTTGGCATCAAAGGGGCTGTACTTCCGAGTGACACAGAGGAAACCTGGGTACCCTCCACATGCTCACTGCACACATGTGACAGGACTTAACGTCATGTGCAAACACCCCTTCCAAGTTCTTATGATGAAACCTAAGGTCTCACAAGCTTTAAAAAAACAAGTGACCATGAATGCTGGTGTCTCCAGACTCCTTACCAGTCCCAGGAAAAGGCAGGAGGAGGTGTGAGGGAGTGTGAGGGGGTGGACCGCGATGTTCTAAGGTGTGAGGGGGCCAATCCTGGTGGATTGTGACAGAGCATGCAGCTAAGGGAGGGAGCCATTACAGACGCGGGATGGGGTTGCCTGCCTTACCCGGGTGGTGGCATCCACTGTGACACCATGTTTGATCAGCACGTCAGCCACTGGAACGTGGCCCTCTTGTGCTACCAGGTGGAGGGGGGTGAGGCCACTCTGAAAAGAAACAGATGTACATCAGTTCTGAGGCAGGGAAGAATTCCAGGCTATTGTGACGGATCTGTGAGACTCGAAAGTCCCGGGCCTATGCAGCACCAGGTCAGCTATCCGACAGGTTATTTGGCAAAATTTTCCTATCCTGGGCCTCTAAGTCCTCACTGGAATGTCAGGTGACTAACGTAGGGAAGGGCCAGGTAGCTTATTCTATTAAGGTCCAACTGCTAATTGATGAGACTGTGACTTTGTACTTTTGCTAATCCTGGTAGCAAGCAGTCCTAACCAGCATGGAAACCATCCGGCATGGCTGAGTTCCAATGAAGCTTTATAGAACTAAGCGGTGGGCTGAGGCTGACCCACAGACAACAGATTCGCTTAAGGAAGACTTTCAATTGTAAGAACTGTTATTTCTGGGGTAAAACTTTGGTGCCTCAGTTTCTTACTCTAGAAAATACAGGCTTCTACCAACTCATCTCGAGGGCAGAGCAGGGGGCATCTGAGAAAGCACCATCCACGTAAAATCACACTGCAGTTTCTGAGAGCATGCGGTACCACGGCCCTGCAGTCCACAGCAGTGTGAGGGGTGGACCCCTCTGGGAGTGGAAGGACCACATTTTTAGGCTTCTCATCAGCCTTCCCATGAGGATAGTGATGTGCAGGGTGTTGACTGCTATGTGGGAACTTGCACCAAATCTCTTGGGAAAGTCACCGTCCCTCTACTCCCTGTGCTGAATACATGGATCCAACTCTGACTCCCCATTAAATCCACTTATCTCTGTATTTCTCAGGCTGCCCAAGGTCTGGATCCTGTTTCCTAATCTAATCTGTTACTTTGTGGTCTTTTTTCTTAATTGGCGAGCTCCGATCATTAATATTGAGAGTTATTAATGAGCAGTAGCTATTGATCCTGTTATTTGTTGTTATGATGTGGGTCCTCCAACCTGGTCTTTTGATTTGCTGGTCTGGGGTTATTTGTTCCTTATATTTGTTTGTGTTGTTCCAAGAATCTTCAGGCTACAAAATGGGAAAATATCTTAACTAATAATACATCTGCTACAGGGTTAATATCTAAAATATTGATATTAGAACTAAAGAACTAAAAGAAGAAAGAACTAAAAAAAACTTGGACATCAAAAAAACAAATGAAATTCACAAAGATGAAACAGAAATGACTGAGAAACACTTAGGGTGAGGGTTAGGGTTAGGGTGAGGGTGAGGGTGAGGGTTAGGGTGAGGGTTAGGGCTCAGCATTCCTAGCCATCAGGGAAATGCAAAATCAAAACCACTTTGAGATTTCATCTTACACCTATCAGAATGGCCAAGATCCATAAAACAAACGACAGCTCATGCTGGTGAGGATGTAGGGTAAGGTGAACACTCCTCCACTGCTGGTGGAAGTGCACATTTATACAGCCACCATGGAAATCAGCGTGACCATTCCTTGGGAAACTGGGAGTCGATCTTTCTCAAAATCCAGCTATACCACTCTTGAGCATACACCCAAAGGACTCTACATCTGACTACAGAGGATCTTTCTTAGCCATGTCCATTGCTGCTTTTCTCCCAACAGCCAGAAACTGAAAACAGCATAGATACCCAAACAGATGAGCGGATAATGAAAATGGGGTACATTTATACAGCCGAATATGACTCAGCTGTTAAAAAATGAAATCATGGAATTCACAAGTAAATGGAGGAAGTTAGAAAAAAAATCATCCTGAATGAAGTAACTCAGACCCTAAAAGACAAATATTGTATATATTCTTTTGTATGCATCTTAGCTTTTAAGCCTTCAATAGCCATGCTACAGTCTGTACAAGCACAGAGATTATGGAGAGAGTAAGGAGGTAGGGAGGGGGAGGATCTCCCAAGGAAAGGAAAATAGAATAGTTATGGAGAGACAGGGAGACAAGGATGGAAGGATTAAGGCCAGAGGGGGCGGAGGGCGTGGGATAAGGGAGGGACAACTAACACTAAGGGCTACTTGAAGGGTCATATGGAAACACACGATGGTAAAAGCTTCTTAAAATATATACATATATGAGAGAAGTCTAAATGAAGTCACCAGATAATGGAGGAGACGAAACCCCAGCTAGATACCATTCATCACCAAGTGAGATCTCCACTGCCAGGAATGGATGACAGCTAGTTGAGGTTGAGTTGTTGTCGAAGGGGGCTTTATTTAACCCCCCCCCCCGCCCCGCCGCAAACAACTTGGGCTTTTGCCAAAGCTATTGGCAACATCTTCAGAACCAAATTATGCAATGAACTCCTGAATGTAGATGATACTCACTCTGGGCTTCCATTGTGGCCTTCTTGAAGATGCTCAAATGGGCAGAGGAAGGCTTCAAAGCCTCAGGGTCCCAGTCTTACCAGTCAGCTATGGATTCGGTATGGCATTGAGAGAAAACTGACGTAGGGCTGTTACCAGGATCCCACTCATAGGCCTCACGGAAAATCACACAAGCTGCTGCCTACATGGAAGCTACAGGGCAAACTCAGAGGGGCCTACCTTATTTCCCAGGTTGCCATTGGCTTGCTTTGAGAGAAGAAGGGCGACCATTTCTGTGTGGCCTTCTTGGGCAGCCAGGTGCAGCGGGGTCACGCCTTGGACAGACTCGGCATTAGCTGATCCTCCATACTGCAGCAGACTGCGGGCCACCTCTATCTGGTTCTGCTTGGCGGCAATGTGCAAAGGGGTGTAGCCATTCTGAAACAGAAGAAGGCACCTGAGATCTGTTCCACCCAACAGCCCAGGTAAGGACAGGAGAGCGCAGTGGGTGGGGTAGGCTCTGGCTCGCCCTCTGAGCAGGCATGTTAGATAGACGACAAACACACAAACTGCTGGCTGGGAGCTAGATCGGCCGGCTCGCATCACCGGCAAACATCCGCACCCTGCTCACCAAGTGTGATGACCTACCATCTCGCTCAGAGGCCCTGCTGGGCAGGAAGCAACGTTACCAAGCAAAATCCAGATGCCAGCTTGAAGGTAGGGTAGGGAAGGGTTCAAGTTCCCTGTCTCCCTCCTGGCAGAAAGGACTCAAAGGCCCAAACGCTTCATACGGAAAAGAAACAGGGAACCACGTATGGCTGCACATGGCTGTAATCCCAACATTCTGGAGGCTGGGGTAGGGTGAGCCTGAAGCCAAGCAGGGCCACATAGTGAAATCCTGTGTCAAATCAACAGAATGACTGGCTCTTGAGAGGCTCACATGTGCTCTTCAGTATGCATGACTATTCTTTTCTTTATTAGCACCCTAAAAGAAACCTTTCCTCACACAGTTTGGCCCCCGTGCTGTTCTTTGGGTCTGCTGGCAGGGGACTCAAGGATGTGGGGGGACTAGGGAGTTCTATTCCTACTCCAAGTCATCTACGGCCCAGGGCAATATTTCATCTCGTAGATGATGTCCTTATATACAAGATCATTGAAAGTAGGGGAAATAGCTGCCTTGTTTATTAAGAAAAAGAAAGAAAGAAACCAATTCTGGACGGATCAAATGTAATTATGCACTCGCGAGAAAGGGCTTTCCAAAATGAAGACACAAGAACACAGCAGTCATGGGTGGTGGTGACTTTGCCATGCACGGTTGGGCAAGAGAAAATGACAAGTGCTGGCCTTGCCAGTTAACTATGATGCTACCCTGTACCAGGGTCTCACGCTGGAGTCCAAGCTGGCCTGGAAATACAATACAGGCCAGGCAGGCCTCAAACTTGAGGTGGTTCAGCTGCCTCAGACTCTCAAGGGCTGGAAATACAGGTGTAAGCCACCACTTCTGGCTTTCATTTCATTTCTTTATGTAGTTTTGATAAAACGTTGTCAGTGGTTGGGTTTCTAGTATGAGTGAGCGCCTTCTACAGTAGACTGGTCGGTGACCTTGTTAGAAACTGCTTCTGGGATCTCTCTGAAGCATCAGAGTAAGGAAGTCAGGCACGGATTACTCCCTGCTGTGATGAAGCTCTCTCTGAGAGGGAGTGTGTGTTAACAGACAGCAAGCCCTAGGTTCTGTTGGCGTCTTGAACTGTGATGTGTGTGTATGATGTGTGTGTGTGTGTGTGTGTGTGTGTGTGTGTGTGTGTGTGTGTGTGATGCCCTTGAGACCTTGTTCAGCAGAATTAGATCCAGAAGGTCTAGACAGGGCTTGAGGGGCTGCCTTCCTAATCAGCTCCCAGGTGATGCTGAGGTTGCTGGCCTATGAACCACACTTCGAGCAGCCAGGCCCTGAAATACTCAGAGTGAAGGACTTCCAGGGCAGGACCCATGACCTCCAGGACCTATGCCCACTCAACCTTTCACAGGAGACCGTGACTGTGTGCAACGGTCTCCAGACATGTGTTTTCCCACACTGGCGAGTTAGCTTTCCTCCAGCTGTCTGTGGCCTTTCGCTAGTCACCCACCGTCTCACTGAGGGTCCACCAGCATTTCTGGTTGAGACGTCTTAGTGAAATAAGGACAGCCATTCAACTGTAGCAAAGCAAGGCTTTTTAGGACTCCTCTTTTTTTCACCCCCAAGGCTCAGTCATTTGAGACATTTGCAGCACATCCACGGAGGTACCAGCAGGAGTCCCTGGTCACTTGGGCAGCTATGGGTATCTAACACACTGGCAGGAACAGACGTTGATTTGTCAGGGACAAGCTTGCCCTGGAGACGGCTAAACCTTCCAGGTCACCTTGGGTTAAATGGAAGACATGAGTCACTGACCATCTCAGAGCATGGACCAAGCCATCAGAGTGACCCCCAAACCAGGACTAAAGGAATGGTGACCTTTTGCGGGTGACAAGAAGAAACAGCAACTAGGCCGGAGCTCCAGGGAGAGGTCAGACGGGGATCTATGTCAGTAAAAGGCTCCTTTTCCCAGGAAGCTCAGGGAAGGCATGCACACGGGAGGGAATCTGTTAGCATCAGACCGAGCAGGGGAGAGTTTGGTTTGGGTGCAAAGGGATTTACTGTGAAATTCTACAAAATTGCCAGACTACTTTGGGAACTATTTTTGCCATGGAAACAAACCCCATCTGTGCAGGCTTTGAGCTGCCTTTCGCTCTCTTTAAATATCATGAACCTGGCTCCAGCTCCGTTTATATAAGTGGGAATGAGGAGGAGGAGGAGGGGAGTCCGGTTTCTTATTTTTAGAAGCAGGAGTAAGTCAACATCTTAGCCGGCTGTGTGCTGCCTCTGCACAATGGCGTCGGGCCCGCTACCACCGGAGACAGGAGTAGGGGCGAAGCCTGAGGAGACAAGGGCTTCCTGAGGCACGCTGTGTCTGCGGAGGACAGGTGCTGGGAGAGGGGAGCATCATACTGAGAAGACAGAGCAAGGTAGAGTCATTCGGTCCCCTCCCCACTGGTGAATCTGGCGAGCGTAAGCTGAAGCACACAGCGACCCACCGACCCACCGAATGACTCTTTCCTTGGTGGGCAGCACTGGAGCTCCCCCTGTGTGACTGAATTTTGCCATACATCATTCTCAGGCTGCCCTGTCAGGAGGCGGGGCACCTGGTGCAGAGATCACGGGTGTCTCTTCTATGCAGGCCCTGACTCCGTTCCTGGCCAGTTTCATAGTGTTCTCTTGCCTCTTACAGATCCAATTCCCACCTCACCCCAGGGTACTCTGTTACCCCCAAAGGCTCCCCTGTCTTCTGGCTTATTTTTTAAATCCCCCCCCCCATCCCATTCAGGGTCCCTCAGGGCCACAGAGTCCTGTAATTAGCAGTGTATTGCAGAATCCAGACGTGCTATCACTGCAGAACATGCAGGGGTTAAGCCCCCACCCTGGTCAGGGTCCCTCAGGGCCACAGAGTCCTATAATTAGCAATGTATTGAAGAACCCAGATGTGGTATCGCTTCAGAACATGCAGGAGTTAAAGCCCCCACTACAGTGGCTATATTCTGAAACAGAAATAAACTAGGAAGATCCTCACACCCAGACGGGACTCTGGGCTTCAAGGCCCAGAGAGGAATGACCACTACACCCAGCACCAGAACCTTGGAAAGAAGCATGGAACGAGACATTCCAGCAGGACACGGTCCCACTGAGGGAAAGCTCCGAGAACAAGGCTGTGGCCCCAGGAAACTCATCGCTAGACCTTTGACCATCAGTTTACAAAACACAGTTGACAGGTAGCTGGTGGGGGTGGGGACTCAGGGTGTGTAAACTGAATTCTACCATTGTGAGTGACCTTCTGACAGAACAGTGTTGCCACTTCCCATTCTACGAGCCCTCAGATGGCAGCCACGATGCTGCAGACAGTATTTGTGTAGGCGTTGTGACGTGTCTGTGTTTAGGAGTCAAACACAAAACATCTGGGGTCGCTTAAGATCAGCAGTTCTCAACCTGTGGGTCGTGACCCCATTGGGGGTAAAATGACCCTTCCCCAGGGGTCACATATCAGACATCCTGCATAGCGGACTTTTATAATGCAAGTCATAGCAGTAGCAAAATTACAGTTATGAAGTAGCAACAGAAATAAGTTTATGGTTGGGAGTCACCACAACATGATGAACTGTATTGAAGGGTCACAGCATTAGGAAGATTGAACACCACTGCCTAAGACAGGCGCTGGGAGAGGGATCTTACCCAGGCAGGGCTGTGCGGGGAGCCACCTCGGGGAAGTAGGAGCTTGACGATGTCCAGGTTGTTGTGATGGACGGCTACATGCAGCGGAGTCAAGCCGTTCTGCGGAGGGACAAAGCAGAGGGGAAGTGAACAGCTTCATTCCCGTGAGGGACCATGTAGACAACCCGGATCTGCTCTTCAGTCCTGGGTGCTTCTTTCACAAGGCAGCACCCATCCAGATCTGGGCTGGGTATAGGTCAGGGGTGAAGCACTCGGCCAGCATGTGCAAGCCCCAGGAATTGTTTCATCACAACAAGAGTGAAAATCAATCTCGTACTTAAGGCTAGGGGGTAGCTCAATGGTAGAGAGCTGTTTAGCATATGTTCTAGTGCTGGGTCCCACCATTAATACTGTAGAAAAAGAAAAAATATTATCTGCCTAAAGCTAGTCTTGAAGGACAGCCACTGAAAGATGGCTCCAGCAGGCTCTAGGACCATTTCTTCGTCCCTGTTGGGGAGGTGGGCCACAAAATCAACACACATGTTCAGAGAGTACCAGGTACTTCTAACAGACGCAGACTTTGCTAGGACTGCCATCATAAAGACCATTCTCTATGGGAGGCTGCCCAGGCACGAGAGGTGCTTCCCAGTGGGGAAGTCTGTCCCTTCTTGCTTCTGCTAACCCAAGAGGAGAGGGAGGCTCCAACTCACCTTTCCTGCTGCGTTGGGATGTGCGTCATGTTCCAGAAGAAGCTCAGCCACCCGTACCTTCCCATACTTGGCAGCCACATGGAGAGGGGTAAATCCTTTCTGAGGAGAAACACAGGCCATCAGGACCCATGGGAGCCAATGCCACCGAAGGAAGGCACGGGTAGGACACTTCCTGGGCTAACCAGCATCGGAATGCCTATGCGACAAAAGAACCTGAGCATTCTGGTCCCTGCAAGACGCTACATACAAGCCTCCCTGAGTACCACCAGGCCAGCTCTCATAGGAGAAACGAGAGGAAGCTGCCTGCGATGTTGTCAGTTGCTTGTTGACTGAGGGAGGCAGGGGCCGTCTCTTTGGTTTGCTCTCATTCCTCTGGAGACAGTCTTAATATGCGGGCCAGGCTGGCCTTGAACTCTAGATCCCTTTGCTTCATTCTCTGAAGTCCTGGATCACAGGCGTGTGTCACTCAGTCCATCAGGATCTTACCTAGTTAGTTAGTCCATTACCTGTTGCCACTCTGGGGGGGGTGAATTTGGGGCCTTAGGAGTGCCAGGCAAGCAGTCCTTGAGCCCTTTGGTCTTCCCTGTATCCTAGGAACCTAGAGCAGGTGTCTGGCAAGTTACAGGGGAAATAGAAGACACCTTGGTTGGAGCAGAGACCTGACTGGCTGTGCTCTTTCCGAGGAAGGAGAAGACTCATGGGCCTGCAGAGTCCCATGACCACAAAGAAGCTTAGATGGGACTCCCCTTCAGAGCCCCAGGCCTAGCCTATTGCTTCTGAAAAACTGAAAAAAATATGTGTGGTTTGTTTTATTTCTGGTCTTTTTTTTTTTTTAATTGAGATCCAGTCTTGATATGCTGCCCAAGTTGACCTTGAGCTCCTGGGCTCAGCTGATCCTCCTGTTTCAGTTTTCTGAGTACTGTGATCACAGGTGGGCTGCTAAACCCCACCAGCCTGCTGCTTTCTAAGAACTGGAACCGTGGTCATGACTGTACCTTGGTCATGCACGCTTGGGATGCCTCCTTCTCCAGGAGGGCCAGGGCTGTGTCCACGTGGCCCTCACGGGCTGCGGTGTGCAAGGGCGTGTGGCCAGCAGTGGTAGCGAGGTTGGGGCTGGCGCCGTTCTCCAGCAGGAGCTTCACCATGCTTGTGTGGCCGATGCGAGCAGCACAGTGAAGTGGTGTCTGGTCGTCCTGGACCCCAGGAGAAAGCACAGAACTGGGAATGTTAACCTTCCCAAGCCCAGCTCCGTGTCTCCCAGGGGTGGGAGGTGGGGCCCAGAAAGAGCAAGTGACTCGGTCACACATAAAAAGATCTTGGATTTCTTCCAGTCTCTGAGTTACAGAAAATTATATACTTTCCCTCATTTGATCCTTATACCTCACCAGCTTTGTGCTTTCGCTACTTAATTGCGCAAAGGTTCAGCTTCCCCAGTTGTTAAGTGGGAATTGTAACATTATTTCATAGTTAGCTCAAGCCGCTAACGGACACAAAGGGTTCACAATGTTGGCGCTCAGTAAACTGATTGCTATCCCAACAAGCCCTCTCTCCCAAGCTCAGTGCCTCTTATGCTTGTTTATGTTTGCATACTTTGATGTTTTTTATGCCAGCAGTCATGGGGCACCAAATTACTGAATCAGGGAAGACAACTTCCAGCTACAGCTCCTTGTCCAGGGGCTCCACGGATGGTATATCGGTTACTGTGCTAAAGCCGAGATGCTCAAGGGAGCCTGCCACCTGCAGAGTGCTGATCTTGGCCACACAGCCTATCTTGCAAACTTGGTAGCTCGTCTTATGGTTTATTCGTCATCCAGTATACAACGGGGGATCCTCCACTTTTAGATCAAGTGATTCCCGGCTGATTTGTCCTGGTGACACCGTGATCTTACCAAGTCCCTTCCTTCAGTCACATCTACTCATCAGCCCGATGAAAGCCGCAGGCTAGCCCTGCTCCCTGGGCTTTGGTACGCTACAGAAATTCAGCTTTGATGGAAGAATATCTCTGGCCCCTCAGGACTCCAGCAAAGCAGAGCCGGAGCTTTCCGTGTGACCTACACAGGAGAGGCGTGACTGGGAGTCCCTGGCCTCTGAGAATGGCTTCCCTTCACCAGGCTGGAGGGACCCTCGGTCCCTCCCTTTCCTGCCTCCTGAACTCACCTTGGCCTTAGCATTGGCTTTGGCTTTGTTCTGGAGCAAGTATTTGGCCACTTCGGTATGTCCTGCTCGGGCTGCCATGTGCAATGGGGTCTCTACCTTCTGCAAAATGACAAGGTTATAGAAATATTAATACATGCTGGTGTTGCAAAAGGACACTTGTTGAACTCAGATTGCTGCCTGGGCTTGGTAGGATTTTGCCCAAGAGCCGGAGCTGCCCAGCAAGTCTGGCTTTTTCTCCCCCTCAGTTGTCTAGGGAAATGGGAATGTAAACCTCGGAGCTAATGAATATTCAAATGTGGGAATGTACTTCCAGATTGCACATATAGACGTTCCAAAATAAAACTCTAAAGATGTGCAGTTGTGTGACAAATTTAACTGGGGGAGCCTCAACAGAGAGGAACGTTCGCCCCACTCCCGACACCTTTGCTATCCCGAGAATCCCATTTCCGTGGGCGGAGAAGACAGGGACCCACTTCTACAGCTTCCCTCAGAGCTGGGGACCAGAGCCAAGAGTTCTCACCGTCTTCAAGATCTTACCACATTGGAGACATTGGGTGACGCCCCCCGCTGCAGTAAGTTCTTCACAATAGGAAGGTGTCCCATGAAGGACGCCACGTGGAGAGGTGTCAGTCCAGACTGGAAGAGACAGAATGGAATGTGATGAGCAGGAGCCGGCCCACAAGGAAGAGCAAGCTGCAATATCTTAGGCTCTTCTGTCAATAGAGCGCTCCATGAATGGCTACCTGAGAAAATGGACTTAAACCAGGTGGGCTTCTTCTCAGGAAAATGGCCACAGGACAAAAGCCCTGGCAGAAAAGGGTCACCACTTTACATTTCAAACCATCCTTTCCCATCCTGAAAAGTCCTCTCACCTGGGAGTCACCTTGATCCAGCCCCTTTGGGACATGCTGACATATACCTGAACATGCACACATTCACATGCACATGCATATCTGCAGTCACACACAGCTATGAAGAATAACCATGTAAGGCAATGGGGGGGGGGACGAAGGCATGCCTACGCTTTCTCCTACCTCGGTGACGGCATCGATGGAGGCACCCGTCTTCAGCAGCAGCTCCATGACGCGGATGTGATTCTTCTTGCAGGCGATGTGTAAGGGGGTGAAGCCATTCTGTAGCCCACACAAAGCACATGGATGGATTCAGACAGTAAGCAGAGAACCGGAAAGGAATCCTACCCCTTCCCAGCCCACCCAGCAAGCACTCATAGACCGCGGGATAGACCATGTCACTCATGAATAGACAAACAGGTGCTCCTCTTTACACATGGAGAATATTTCTGAGTATGACATTTGGGGACATTTAAAAAGAATTCTGTCCTATTTCTGGATACACTAAAGGAGTATTCTTTGGAGTACTCCTTTCTACGTGATGCTGAGTGAAAGGGATTCTGCTCCCCAGCATGTTATACAGGCGCACCCCTCCATGGGGACAATTCTGTGTCTGTCTACCTCCTCTGTACTTCACAGGGCAGTGCTTCTCAAACAAGGTCAGTTTTCTGGGGGCAGGGGAGGGGTTATAGCCAGCATGTCTCTGCTGTCACAGGTAGGGAAGCAGAACTACTAGCATTTGGTGGCTAGAGGCCAGAGATGGTGCCAAGCACCCTGCAGCAGACAGGGTAGCACATTTCAACCCCAATGTTGGCCCCAAGCTTTGGAATCCTCAGTGACCCCAGAGTCTGGTCTGGGCTCACTGCAAGCAGGTTTGAAGGGATGGAGGATCTATCTTTTGCCTCTGGAGGGTACCTGTCCCTTCAGTTCTCCTCCGAGCATGGACAAATGTGAGACCACGGTCCTGGACATGCTCTATGGCTCTCTGAACTACTCTGGTGGCCTCTGGCCTTGGTAGGAGGGTGAGGAGCACAGCCATAGGACGACCCTGTTTTAGGTCTGAACTTGTAGCCAGGGCTGGGGCCGCAGCCCCGTTCAGAACTGTCCTCAGTTCAAGTCAGCACATTCTCACCCCGAATTAGGTTGAAGACCAGGCCTGCCTCTAAGATGTTACTGCCTCTTAGCACTGAGTCTGGCTGGAGCCTTGAACCTACATGTGCACCATAAACACAGCTTCCAGAGTCAGATCTCTTGGGTATAAACCTACAGCAGACCTCCCCGGACACACACACACACACACACACACACACACACACACACACAATGTGCACTTGCCTACGGTGCTGCCCCTAGTGGTACCCATGCAGAGCTGCAGCCCCTCCCTGCACCCCTTTCCCCCAGCAGCATCCCTACAGTAGCAGCCTCCTCTCACCAGGGCTCTGGAGTTTGGCTTGGCTCCTTTATCCAAAAGAACCTTAGCCACCCTGTGGTGGCCACAGTGGGCTGCCACGTGGAGAGGAGTCAGGTGATCCAAGGTGACGTCATCGATCTCTGCATTGTATTGCAATAGAAGTCGGACACAGTCGAGATGGTCTCCCTGAGCCGCCATGTGGATTGGGGACAAGCCATTCTGGAGGAAGAGGGATAAAGCAATGACAGAGCTCCTGGGGACAGAGCGGGGGACTCAGGACAGTGACGGCAAAGCCACTCCCTCCTTGTCTACACAAACTTCAGTGTGGATCCCAAATGTGGATCCCATTTTGTCTCTGACGAAAATGTTCTCTCCCATGTAGCCAAATCTTCAAGCCTGCCATGAAGGCTTCCCTGACCATCCTGGACTTCCTCAGGCTTTGCTGGTCTGTACTGGTCACTCAAGTCTGACCTTATTTTCACCTTTGCCGAATCATCTAATTTGTGACCACCATCTTGGGCATGTTTTTTCCTCTTAATTACAAGTTTCCAAGGACCGGAACTTTACTTCATTCTTCCCAAATGCTCACGGGGCCCAATTACTACATGCAGCATGTGTGGCGGGCCTTAATTAATGTGTGGATAAAGGACAATAAAACAGACTTTAGATCTCTTTAAAATTTTTAATTGGAAAACGTTCCCATTTACTTATTGTGTGTGCTTGTGGGGTGGTGGGAAGGCATGTCTGCGCCGTGGTGTGGCCACACACTGCCAAAGGACAACTTGCTGGGGTCGGTTTCTCTTTCTACCATGTGAGTTCTGGGGACTGAACTTAGGCTGTAAGTCGTCTCAATGACAAGAGCCCTTACCCACTGAGCAATCTCACTAGCCTGGATAAAGTTTACAATCACTATGGAAACACCCTTGGTATATTGGAGGGCGGTACTGGAAAGGTTTAAGTGAGAAGTGAAGACCCAGCTATGGGAGGCACCAGGCTGTGGGCTGAAGTCCACCACTGACAAAAGGAGAAAGAAAGTCGGGCATCAGTGTGCACCTCTGTCTCCTACTGTGGATTTAATGTGACCCGCTGCTTCCTGCCCCTGCCGCCAGGCCTTCCCCGCCATGATGGACTTCAATTCAAACTGTGAGCCATCCACCCCAGTCTCTTCCTTCCTGAACCTGTCACATATGTTGTCCTAGCAACAAGAACAGGAACTAGTACAGAAAAATTGGTACTAAGGAACACACGGTTTGGGTGATAAACCCGACACAGAATCCCTAGGCCTTTGGAACTGTTTTGCAAGAGAAATGTAGTAGATTTCAGAGCTTCAGGCTAGAGAAGTCCCAGAATGCTGTAAATAGGACCTAATGGGCGCTGTTCATGAGAGTGTGGGAGACCAGAATGCCGAGAGAGCTGAATGCAGGTAATGATGGCCCAGCTTACGTGGTTTCAGAGAAGAACACACTCCCTTTCATGTGATATTCTGCCAAAGAATCTGGCTTCTTTCTACCGTGTCCTAAGAACTTGGGTAAGGCTGAATGCAAAGTAATGGATGGAGCTATTTGGCGGAAGAAATCTCAAAATAGGGTAGCATTCAGGCGTTTTCATGGTTACTTGGGCAGGTCGATAGCGAGAGAGGGAGCAACAAGAAGAGGAAGATTTAAAAAAAAAATGTGTAGTGCGGCAGGAAAAGACTCAGGAGTGGATTTGGAGTGGGAGACAACGTGGTGGAGAAGAAGCAGCTGTAACTGTCAAACCACTACAAAGAGAAACGCTCTCCTTGCTCTGCTCTAAGACAACAGGAATACGCACCCAGGGCAAGAGCACACCGAAAGCCCCACTTTCGGAAGTGAAGATTCATTTGAAAGAGGGAGAGGTTGAACATTGGAGGCCACGGAACAGGGTTTCCTGCTCACAACGTCCTAAGAATCATCCTGGATGGCACACGGAGGCCAATGTGCTCGGGAGGGTCTAGGCTCTGTCTCAGGCTGGCAGGAGGGCTGGGCAGTGCTATTCGTGTGTTGGCTTTATACACACAAAAGATGTCAGACCGAGGGGGTTATGGAGTCTTACTCCACAGTCCTAGAGCCCACTCAGGCCAGATAATGTGAGGCTGGGTGAGAGTCTCCGAAAGGATGCCCTGAGAGGCCATTGCATGAAGCAGTGAAGCTGAAGCGGTAGCTGCAGTGTGGGTGTCCTCTGAGGAAAGCCGCAGCCACCACCAGGCAGTGCGGTCTCAAGAGAGGGGCTGCGTGTGTTTTAGGCAGTGGAGCTGGAGGGGCAAGGACATATAATCTCATCATGAGGCCAGGTGTTGGGCACAGCTGTAGGATTTGGGTTCCCGTCTTGGTTTAGGCTGGTCTTTCTTTGCTTCCAGAAGGGGCTGTTTACTCTGTGCCACAGGAGTGGACTTATGATTCTACAGGGATCACAGTTAAGAGACTGTCTTGAGTCTCAGAAGAGACTCAGGTCTTTGTACTCCTTTAAGAAATGTGTTAGGGTCTGGAGAGACAGTTCGGTGGTTACCAGCATTTTGATATCCAGGACCTCCATGGTGACTCACAAGCATTGGTAATTCTAGTTCCAGAAGATCTGACAACATCTTCAGGCCTCTGTGGGGCACCAGGCATGCACACTGTGCACAGACATGCATGCAGGCAGAACACACATATAGTTAAATAAAAATAATTATTTAAAACAAAAAAATTAAATTATGAGTGTGTGTGTGTCTGTGTGTCTGTGTGTCTGTTCACGGCTATGTGTATGTGAGTTACAGACATTTGTGAGATGCCTGCTGTGGGTGCTGGGAGCTCTCTTAATCACGGAATCATCTCTGTAGCCCAGGACTCTGTACTCTCTAAGGTGCTGGGACCATGAAAGACCGTGAGGATAATTTAGAGACAGACTAAATGCATTTTACATCATGAGGTGGAAATGGGATTTAGGAGCTGAGATGGAACATTACCATCACTGTGTGATGTGCCTGGGTGTCGTTGTGATGATTAACCTCCAGTATTGTCAACTTGTCAGATACACTGGCATGCTTATGGGGGTCTTTCCAGAAAGAATGAGCTGAAGAGGGAGCGCCCACCTGGATGTGGGTGACACCATTCGTTGGCTTGGGACCGCAGACTGAATAATAAGGAAAAGCCAGCTGAACACCAGCACTCGTCTTTCTCATGACTGTACCTGCAGTGTGACCTGTCACCCCTGCTGCCACAACTTCACTGCCATGAGTGACCGTGTACCCTGAAACTGTGAGCCACCACGAACCCTTCTGAAGTTCCTTGCCACAGCAACAAGGACATCTAGCTGCCTTGGAATGTCGCCTACCCAAGAGGGCCTACCCAGGAAGGAGCACACACCTTGGTTTTAGCTTGGATGGGTGCCCCGTGGTCCAGCAGGATCTCTGAGATCCTCACGTGTCCGTTTCGAGCTGCACAGTGGAGCGGTGTCAATTCATCCTTTATAAGACAGTGAAAGACAGAAAGCCTCAACGACGGCCATCACCAGCCTGGCTGCAATATCTCTTCCGGACATGGAAGTTCAGATACTGCCTTTGGGCCAGGCTGACTTTAGCTCAGTTTAGTCCCTGTCCCCTGCTGCACCTGGCTGCTCCTGCAGGTCACTCAGGGCGGCAGGGGACACATTGAGAGCCTGTCACTCAGGGAGACTCAAGGGCAGAACTCACTCCCTGCCCTTGCCCTGAAGGCTGCTGACACCTACCTTGGTCCTTGTTTCTATCTGAGCCCCTCGGTCCAGCAGGAGTCTCACCATGATCACATTCCCTCTGCGGGAGGCGATGTGCAGTGGTGTGATGCCATTCTGGAGGAAGAGACGGGGACCCTCAGGGCTCGGTGCTTCTTTGGGAGGTGGCAGGATGTGCACCACCCCCTAGCTTCTGCCTGTATATCCTGACCGCCACAGAACAAGCAGCCACTTTAACCATGGGAGCATAGCTCACCTCAAGAAGAGTCAGGACCTGTGAGGACCTGATGGTACTGGGTTTAACTGCACTAAACTGACCAAACCCACATCCCCCAGAGTAATGAAGAAGATGGGGAGAAAGGCAGGCATTTGTAACCATGCCCCACCTCCTGTGTTCGCCTGAAGAGCAGTCACATGGAGTTTTGAGTTTCCTCCAGACCAAGTTGGTGGGAACTGAAGGATCAGTTGATTAGTAATTCCTAGCAGGAGGTCTTAATAGTCACTGGGGCTCTGTCCCCCCCACCCCAGGCATTTCTGAGATACAAGTAGATTCCAAGGTGCTAGAGAGAGTGTGTGAGAGAGATGGGGGCACCCCAAATTCTGGACAGTGTGCAGAGACTCCAGTGCAGTTACCTGAGGTGTGAAGTTGACGCTGGCTCCCCTGTTGAGAAGGAGCTGGGCCACATTGAGGTTCTCATAGTGAGCTGCGATGTGGAGAGGTGTGAAGCCCGTCTGGCGCAACAGAGGGGGAGAATGGCTTGTCACATACCAGCACCTTTGTCCCAGAACCAGCCCAGGGTTTCTAAACAACAATAGGGCCACAGGGCCCGACAAACAAAACAGGCTCTGGCCAATGGCAAAAGCTAAGGAAGGGGTGGAGAGATGCCCTCTTGGCAAGATATTTCCACATCAGAGGGACTTCTAGTATGTGCCTTATGGCTAAGGTGCGTGAGACCTTAGTAGAATGGTCTTCTACTCTGTAAAGATTTCTCACTTTAATAAAATGCTGATTTAATAAAATGCTTTAATCACATGCTGATTGGCCAGTAGCTAGGCAGGAAGTATAGGTGGGGCAACCAGAACAGAAGAATTCTGGGAAGACGAAAAAGTCAGTCTGTAGTCGTTACCCAGACTCAGAGGAAGCAGGATTAGAATGCCTCACTGATAAAAGGTACCAAGCCACGTGGCTAGCACAGACAAGAATTATGGGCTAATATAAGTTATAAGAGTAATAAGAAGCCTGAGCTAATAGGCCAACCAGTTTATAATTAATGCCTCTGTGTGTTTCTTTAGGACTAAAAAGCTGTGGGACCAGGTGGGACAGAAGCCTCTGCCAACACCAAGGCAAACTATAAACTGAGATCACCTCTCATGAAGAGATTTTAGTCATCAGTGAAGGGTTAGGGAGCCCATGGCTGCCAGACCCCTAACAGGGTGTGTGACTCGGCTTTCTGGCCAGAGAGTTCACCACTGCCATGCTGCTCCAAATCCTTAGACCACATCCAAGCAGAACCCAGGCACAGGGATATGGTAGACTAGGAGGAGGGAGAGGGCAGTGTGAACCAGTCAAGCAATCTCACGGACTGAAGGACAGCTGGCAGCCTCACTGAAGGAGCAGTGGCTAATAACACTTTAAATATCGTATCTCCAGGAACCTCACTTTACGCCTTCCTGCCTTTTGGCAACTGGACGTGATGATTGCTTCATCCAGAAAGGGCACAGGGTAAGAAGAAGGTGACAATCTGGAGTCCCCTCTGAGGTGCAGCGTCATTCTGCAGGGAGGTCTACCCTGCCCACCCGGGTGCTGGTCTGGATCCTCCACGTAGCCAGAACATCTTAGCACCATCTTGGCTTTCTCCAGGGATCTGAGGCAGGGCTGCCCACTAAGCCCTTCTATGTTACTGCTAAGCACGAAAGGCACAGCTGGTTCATTCCCCTCGACTCTGGTCTTAGAAAAACGCCAGGAACTAAAGGTGCCTCTAGCGCAGTTCTCCTGCCCCCCAACCCCCCAGCTTGCTCACCCTGGGGGCATGAACGTCCTGGTTTCTCTCACCTTGGAAAGGACGTCGGGGTTGGGGTCGTTCTGCAGCAGGACCGCAGCTGTCCGCGTGTCATCGTTGCGGGCTGCAATGTGCAGGGCGGGGAGGCGCACTTTCCCTTTGGTTCCATAGTTGATGAGGTGAGCCACCACGTTCTCATGACCCTGCTGTAGGGCCACCGCCAGCGGCGTGAAGCCATCCTGGTCAGGGGAGGGCAAAAATGGGATTTCAAAGCCCTTTGCATCCCCCAAGCTCAACTCAAGTGCCGCCTGCTCCCTGAAGTCTTCCTTGGCCCCATTTTCTTGCTCTGTGCCCCCACGGGGTCTGCATTCTTCCCTTTGCACTGAGTTTTAATTTACCTTATGCTTGAGGTCAGGTCTGTCTGTGTGTTGTGAGGGTCTGACCACGTGTGTGTCGTGTTTACGGTCTGAATGCGTGCTATGAGGGTATTTGATTGTGTGTACTATGTGTTTGTTGTCTGACTAAGTGTCAAGGAGGCCTGAATGGGCATCACCTGTTTGCAGTCTGACTGTGTGCCATTATCATTCATGCCCCTGAGACAGTTCCAGTACAGAACACACTTTCCAAGGGAACTTACTTCTGTGGCTACATTCTGATTGGCTCCGTTCTCCAGTAAAAACTTTACCACCTCCAAGTGATTCTCCTGGGCCGCCATGTACAGGGGAGTAAAGCCCTTCTGTAAACCCAAAGAAGAAGCCATTAAAATAGTGGGTAAAACAGGTAAACCCTTTCATGTGTGTGTGTGGGGGTGACCTCTCTTCATGCCCTCGCTTCGCCCTGGAGACAAACCACTGCCTCTGGAAAAATATTACCAAAGACCAAGATGGGGAGATGACTCCGTGGATGTGTTTTGCCCCCGACCTTCTGAGTGAGTCCCTAGCTCAAACATCTTCCTCCACTTAAAAAGTTATTTTGTTTTTAATTATGTGTATATGTTTATCTGTGATGTGTGGGTGTGTGCACACGAATGGAGAAGGCCCCTCCCCATATGACCCATATGTGATTTCACTGGTCCTATTAAACCAAGCTGGAGTCCACAATGACCAACTCTCCATGCTAAGGTCATGCACTCTAGCCTTGGAAAATTAGCACACAATGTCTGCTTCACTGCTAGGAGACGTGTTAGTAATAAATCTAGTCCTAGCTGCAGTGTGTGTGTGTGTGTGTGTGTGTGAAGTACACAGCAGTCAATGTGTCTTCTGTGTGGCGTAGAACAATTGTGTAAGTGGAGGAAGACACCCCCCCACCCATTCTAGAAATCAGGGAGCCATTACCTGAGACTGGGCATTGACGTTGGCTCCATAATTGACCAGTTCCCGGACCACCTCATCCTGACCAGCAAGGGCAGCGATGTGCAGAGCAGTATTCCCCTTCTGAAACACAGACGTGAGGGATAGAGGATGTTTTCCTCAGCCTGCTCAAGAGCTTGTCACAGGGAGGAAAACGAAGGGGCTGGTTGGAAAGATCCAAGGCAGAAACATCTGTGTCTATGCCCAGTTTGTCACTGATCATGGAAGATTAGTAAAAACTCAGGGACCAACGTGTTCTTCTCTCTGACATATCACACACTCAGATGCGTGCATGCATGTGCACATACATACATCACATAGACACATCACACACACACAGAGATAAAGACACATACACACATTCCACATACAGACACAGGCACATATACCACACAGACACACACACACAGACACACAGACACACAGACACACACACAGAGACACACACATAGACACACACACATAGAGACACAAACACATCATATACACAGACATACACATGTGCGCGCGCGCACACACACACACACACACACACACACACCAACTGTGAGCCTCAAGAAGTGCCCTAGACCTGTGGGGCAGTCACAGGACAGGGGTGTGATCCTCTGTGTTAATGAAGAAGCAGATGAGAAGTTTTAATTCTATTTTGATTTACAAATATCTGAGTTCTCTATGTTTAAGGAGCCATAGAAGCCACAAGAAGAGGAGGGTTGGGTCAGCACTGTGAATTTGTAGGAGACGGGAGGGGTCTACTTACGCCTTACCCACCCTGAATCTGGGCTCTAGTTTCTGGGCTGGAGAGGGAGGAGAGGAGCCAGGACACCCATTTTTTTTTTCTTTTCCAATCATGAGCCCGGCTAAGGAACTAGGGCAGGCTTTAGCGTCTTAGTTTGTCTTTATTTCTAATCTTCCCAAAGCCTGGGAGACCCAGGACAATTTCACAATCTGTCTGGTGTCTTCCCTGGTCTCAGGCTTGACTTTCACCTTTGTTACCCCCTTTCTCTATGGCATTCTAAAGTTCCATTGGCTTAGAAATGTCTACAAATAAAATCTACCAAGTAAGTATTCACGACAAAATAAAAACCAGAAGGGAAGATTTGGAAAGAGTGTGCCATTTACTCAGCTCTGGGGAAATGCCAGGGAAAAGAGAGCGCAGGTTTGTGGTTGGGTATGTTGGAGGTCAGTAGCTACCCCTTGCTCCCCGAGAAGAGCAGGTGAAACAGTTGATCTCTGGTGGCTCGAAGCAAAAGCAGCTCCAAAGAGCAGCTCTGCTCACTGCACCGATGAGTGAACAGGGAATGACATGAAAATTAGCAAATTTTACCATGGGAAAGGCGTTTACCTTCATAATATTTGGAAGTTCACTTCATACAAATTATATCTGTTCTCTACATATTGTTCAGCTGCATTTTCTGCTTGCTGCAGAGAGCTGAAATTGAGACTGTTCTCAGGACCCTAGTTAACAAGCATTCAATGGGAAATGAGAGGTTATGGTAACTCAGGCAAAGAGACAGCAATGTGGGGAGGTGGAGCTGGGAAGAGAGGGAGGGGCAACAGGGGATGGCATAGGGAGATTATTTTAATAAACAAGTTGCAGGTACATAAGAAATAAAGCTTGCTTTAGGGGTTAGATGTAGGTCCGTGCTAGACTGCATGTTTACCATGCATGAAGACCAGGGTTCTACCACTACCAATGCAAAAAAATAATATTTTGCAATCTACATGAACTGATGCTTCTATGCCAAACACTTTCTGTTGAAGGGAGTGCTGTCCCAGGGAGAAATCAGGGAGAAAATAGATGTAGGGCTGAACAGGAAGATTTGCTAGAGAAGGACACACCAGAAGAACCGGGTTCCCTTCAGTGACAATACTGTCACCGTCACTATTTCCTGCTTAATTCTGTTGTCAGATACTTTATATACACAACTCAGTTAATGGTCACACTGACCCTGCAAAGCTTCACCATCCACATTTACAGGGGAGAAAACTGAGACTTCCCAGCAGCCAAGTAATTTTCCTAAGGTCACAGAGGGGGAAGCATCTCAGCTGGAGCTCAACTCTGGAGCTTGTAGAACTCCAGGTCCCTGTATGAAGCAGTAAGAAGCCACCGTAAAAGGATCCTGGTTCTGGAATCCAGTGCTGATGGTAGAATAAAGGCCTGCTGACAAATTCTGGAAACTGGGACCTGATTTTCAGGTGGCACCCGGGACCCAGAGAAACCCAATGTGATTAGCAGCATCCCGGAAACCAGCGCCACATTTAGGCTGGTTTCCAAGCGACAGTTTGAGAAAACTCACAAAGGCATTCCACAGGCTTGAATTTGCAATGCCAAGGACCCCTGCTTCTTACCTTGGTTGTCGTTTCTAGAATGATCTCCTTGTGCAGTAGTTCAACCACCATCTTCACGTGGCCTTCTTTAGAAGCCAGATGCAAGCCGTTCAACCCGTTCTGAGAGGAGCAGAAAGGAGGGGAGGTTTTGGTTAGCGACACTGCCCACTCTGCCATCCTAAGGACTGGATAAGGTGTGTGGTGGAGCGAAAGACAGAAATGCAGGGACACTGGGTGGGTACAGCCAACCCAGAGAGCCACCAGCAGAAGGCACCCTGAGATCAGAGCACCAAGGAGAGGAGTAAATGACAGCAAGACTGTCACACATGGACACGAATTAAGTGCAGGGACGTTCTCTCAGAACCTGCAGGGGCCTGAGATCTGATCCGAGGCAGTCTTTCGGCTTCACTGGGGCGTGGAAGCGTCCAAACGCACAAATGTTGAAGGCTTGAAGAGGTAGAACCTTTACGAGCTGGCGCCTCAAGGAAGAGGCGTCTGAAATACAGCTCTCTTTCTGCCTTTAACTTCCAAGCTGCCAAAGCCCAGCCCCTCTTTTTGCCACAGACTCATTCCCAAGACATACTGTGTGACCAAAGGCCCCCAAACAATGAGACCTAGTGACCTTGGGCTAAAATCACGAACCAAAACAAACATTTTCATTTTTTGAAGTCGACTTCCCCGGGTATTGTCATAGCGGCAGGAAGCTGACCAAGTGATTGACAGAATATGCCACAGAATGAGATGGTTGGCATGGCCGTGTCCCTGGGGAACTGTCATGCAGTAACCAAAAAGAGTAGGGATGCCACACAATACATGCCTGAAATCTCTGGGGACCAGTCCACAGTTACCAAACTAAGCTGCAAAGCAGACCCTTTGAGAACTAAACACCCCACCTTGCTGCGTGGTTTCCTCAATGGAAAGCCAGTGTGAAAACAGCCCCTTTGCTAGCTTGTTGGTTCAGGTGCCACCAAGGAGGCCACACCCAACCATCAGTCCCCCAAATCAGAACTCTCACAAAGGCGTGAAAGTTGTCGTCAGTTGGAGGCTGCCACTGCATTCCTAAGAAGCAGCACTGCAGCTCAGAATGCATCTCTCAGCCCATCCTTCCTCTTTGCAGTTCTTCTGACTGTTTACTTAAAGGCCCTGGAACTTTCTAAAAAAACTCTGATACTAAAAACTGCGTATACTTGCTGGACAGTGGTGGCTCACACCTTTGATTCCAGCACTGGGAAGGCAGTGGCAAGGGGATCTCTGTGAGTTTGAGGCCAGCCTGGTCTATAGAGTGAGTTCCAAGACAGCTGGGGCTACACAGTGAAACCATCTTGAAAACAACAACAACAAAACCCTGCTACTCGGGAGCTGGCGAGAAGGCTCGGTGGGCAAATGCATTTGCCATCATGCCTGATGACCTAAGTTTGGTTTATGTGATGGAAGGAGAGACTCCTGAAAGTTACCCGCTGACCTCCACATGTGCTCATGAAATACTCGTGCCCCTTCCTCCCAAACAAAGGTCTTTTTAAAAGTACTACCCAGCATTGCGAATGATTCCGGCCATGTGATGGCATGAATTTCAAGTCCCCGGCTGAGTAGAATCCATAAAGGCAGTGGTTTCGGTCAGCCAATGATTCCATTCGTTGCCTCCACCACTGTGGCCAGTAGCTCTCTTCTCCTACTCTTTCCCCATTTTTGTCAGTCTGGCTTTAGCATCTTCTCGTTGCTGCTGCTGCTTCAGTAGCCTTGCAACTGCTGCAGGCTCTTGCCAGTTAGGATAAGGTTTGACCTCTCTGTGATTTGAGGCCTTTGACTCACCTGTCCCGAGAGTCCCTGCACCCTGGGCTCCAGAAATCCCCTCTCCTCTCTTGGGTCAGAGGACATGCTCAGTTTCCCGCTAAAGCGGCTCTCTACCTGGGGCCATTGCTGCCTCTTAGCACATGACCACAGGGAAGAGTCTCCTGGGAATGCACTTGAGGGGATGAAAACAGGAAGGTTGCAAGGATGTCAACCTATGTCCTATTTACATCTGGCCTGCCTAGCCTGCAAGCAGCCAGTGAATATGGTTGGCTAAGACCTCACCAGTTTAGAACATTCCTTACCGTGTGTGTGTGTGTGTGTGTGTGAGTGTGTGTGTGTGTGCACGCACACATGCAGATGGCCATCACATGCCATCCTCTTACAGTCTGTGCACAACAGTTACTGCAGGGTTCAACAGCAGCTGTGTGACGTTTTCATCCCACGGTATGAATAAAATTACCACATAACAGATAGGCTAGAGCCAGTGCTGGTAAGGGGAGAGGAAGTGCCTAAAGGCAGGCCATAGTCTGGTCAGGAAGTTAGGGTCAAGTAAGGAACACTGGACACACACAAACCCACTGTCTGTATTCGGTTTGCAAAGTGTAGATTAACTAAAAAGCCACCTGTCAAATGATGGGGTGTTTGGGAAGTTCCAGCTCTTCCTGCAGCTGCTCCTGTTTGGGGTAGGTCTGATCTTTCACAGACCTGTAGACAGATCTATCAATCCTACTCTGGAAGGCTCCAAGCCCTGACGTGTGGGACTTCTGGGGTTCGGTGGTGAGGTTGTGGTCATGGCTACACTTTGCTTACCACGGGAGATGATTCTGGTAGCATGCCAGCATGGACGTGGTTCATTTATTGCTTGGCTTGGCAGCATTGCCACCTAAATGGTGGGTATTGATTGGTCCTGAAAGCCTCAGAGCTGCAATGTTGTCGAGCCTGGAAGGAAACATCTAAGCTGGGGGTGGTTTTTCCCTGCTCTTCAGAGCCAGAGTGAGGACCCTAATCCAGAGTGATGCTGGATTCTAACCACAGAAAGCTGGAGGCAAGGTGTATTAGAGGCTCTTGACTGTACCTCTCATTCACAGCTTAGCACACCAAGGCCCACAGCAGTTATTAAACTAATGAAGTCACATCATCCTTCTACATCACAGCCACACGAAAGCCAGCCTGGTTTTGGGTGCCCCACCCCCACCCCAGGAGCTAGCTCACTTCTTTCGAATCAGATACACAGAAGCACAGTTGTCACGAGAATCATCCCCCAAGGATCTGGTTGTGGCCTTTGCGATTGATCTCAACAGTTCTACTCACTGTTCTGGTCTTCAGGAGTCTCCCTTTCTCCCCTCCCCGTTCATAAGCCATCTAGAAGTCCACTCCCGGCAGAAGAAATGGTATTTCTACCAAGAGGGTCCATCTGATCAGATCGGTTCTACATCCCAAAGAGCATCTCACCCTCCCTTCCAGATTCTGCCTCTACCATCTTTCTTCTCTGGGACTCTCTCCCTTTCTCCCTCTCCCTCTCCCTCTCCCTCCGTCCCTCCCTCCCTCCCTCCCTCCCTCCCTCTCTCTCTCTCTCTGTGTGTGTGTGTGTGTGTGTGTGTGTGTATGATCAAATACATGCGGAAGCCTGAGGTTAATGTCGGGAAATCTTCCTTGATCAAATCTTCAACCTTACGCTTTGAGGCAGAGCCTCTCAATCAAAGCCACAGTTCATAGATATCACCGGCTTCAGTAGGTGGTTTGCGGGGAGATGTCCCTCAACTCTGACTTCTGAGACTGAGGCTGGAATTGCAAACAGGCCACCATGTTCACAGAGCATGTATGTGGGCCCTGACGATCGGCACTCAGGTCCTATGGCTGGAACGCCAAGTGTGTCCACTGCTGAGCCAGCTCCCCAACCCTCTAGTGGGTTTTTTTTTTTAAAAAGTTACTTCTATTACTGCGAGTAGATGTAAGCTACACCTATGACTCAGGTGGTTTGAATTTAAAGTCCTCGTCTGGATCACAGAACCAAAGCAAACCCCATTAGGCACAGCCAGCCAGGGTATGCAAGAAACCCTGGAGTTAGAAGGCAACAAAACACGGGTGCAAACGCCTGCTTCAGCTGCAGTTGCCACCCAGTGCGAAGCTCCACCCACTCCCGAACCGTGTGAGAGCCGGCAGTGCCCAGCAGTGCACTGGAGGCGATTATGGTACCAAGTTTTCTCTTAAAGAACTCACTGTGGGAGGGATGATCCACACGAAAGAGATCTCCCAAATGTTCCTACAGGCACGGATGAATCCATAGCACAGAGGAGGGTTGGACTACTCCTTAAGAAAAGGTTTCATAGCCAGACAGCCAGTTCACGCGGACATTAGGGTGTCGAGTTCCTTTACAATGGCAAAGTGAAGACACCATAAGTGATACTAAGGTCTAAACCCACACACTGACACGTCAGAAGCCAGGCTTCCAGCCTGCTTGCCAGGTGTCCTTTGCCTCTCAGGAGGCAGCTGGATCCAACAGGTGCACAAACGCGCCAAGCCCCAGAGGCACAGCTCTCTGCAGGCGCGAACTTCAGCAGGTGGATGGACACTGAGCTGCAGCGACTGACCAACCAGCCCAGCGGCTGAAGCTGGGGAACACCGGGGACCAGCCTTGTAAGGAGCCTCTGCCTTACTAAATGTAGAACTAGTCTTCCCATTACCAATTTGTTTCAATACCGAAACAGTGTCCCGTGGATAAATAGCGAATTTAACACTTTCCTTTTCTTTAAACAGTTATTATTATTTTTTTTAATTGCTCAAGTGTGAAGAGGGAGGAGTATAAATGATGTGAACTATTTGTTCTTAGCTGCGACTGTGGACAGGGATGAACTGTAATCTGCCACCTCTTCACAGCCAGGAACCATATGCTTCTGCTTCAGCTGAAGCAAATGTGAGCTGGTTGCCAAGAGTAAGAGGCAGTCTGCTGGATCTCTCCTTGGAACCTCAGCTTCTCATCCAGCCTCCACAGTCACCCTCTCTCTCGAAGCCAAATGGCAGACAGGCTGTCGAGGGGATTAGGCATGGGACGAAGCACACATTACTTCTCTCCGATGGCAGAGGGTAGAAGATAAGCACAAACGAGTTCAGGAGACAGGAGCCTCGAGCCTCGGAGCGTCCGTTGAGTGAGATGTGTAGCTACTCATGGCCGTTTTCAGTCCCGCTGTCCGGCAGGCCACGAGCTGGCTGCCACCCTCTTCCCGCCGACCCCTTTGCACCACACGGTGTTGCCCATCTGTGCAGACCTGAGATGCCCGTGCTTCAGGTGTTCCCCTGTGCGTTTCTCCTTCTGTTTTCCTTTGTTTTAA